TCCCGCCGCTGTTTTTTTTCCCCAAAAAAAGTTTTTAGACTTGTTGGGCAGACCCATTTCCCGGGCGCTTGAAACATGATTTGTGATCCTTTAATTATCATGGGGGGTCCAGGTTAGATAGTTAGCATAATAAGGTATTTTGGGCATTGATTATGTTCAACGCGTTATTTTGTAACCTCCTCCCCCCCCCCCCCGCCGCTCTCCTTCGAATTCTTCGATCAAATGTTAGGCTCCAGAAGTTCGAGAAAAACTTCTACATCGAGCACCCTCACGTTACCAGCCGGTCTCAAGAGGAAGGAGATGCCTGGAGGCGATCGGTTGGTTCTTCTTTTTTTGTTGCTGCTGCGGTTCATGTGGCGGCTGTCATTCATCGTCGTTGTGGTGTTGGTGTTGGTGTTGGTGTTGTTGATGGTGACGGTGATATCTTGTTGTTGTTGTTGTTGATGGTGACGGTGATATCTTGTTGTTGTTGTTGTTGATGGTGACGGTGATATCTTGTTGTTGTTGTTGTTGTTGTTGGTGATGGTGTGGTTGTTGTGTGATGTTGGTTGCCGTGTTCTGCCGACAGCATGCTACGCCCTTTCCGAAAGCTAGAACCGCCGTAACCGGGTGAGGCACCAATCCGCCGGGTGCCTTTGGTTGTATTTACCTGCGCTACGCATGCACGAAGACACCAGAAGGGGTTAGACTCACTAAATAGTGGCATACCTTTCTCTCCCAAAGGTGTATTTAGTTATTTTTTTAAGGAATAGTGAGAGGAGACGGCGCGTGACAACTTTCTAACAGAGCAACCTCCCGCCCCTCTACACTCACTCCCTCTTCCACCCTTCATCCCGGTCAAATCAATTTTCAAGACAAGGTGTACCTTATACACGTGTTGGCATCGCAGTAACGGCGTGTCTGCGGCATGCTTTGTCGCTGCTTTGCTGTGTTCTAGGTGGGCATCACCATCCAGGGGGACGGCATCCCGAAGCCTGTCATGACCTTCGAGGAGGCGTCGATGCCCGAGTACGTCCTGCGAGAGGTTTTGAAGCAGGGATTCCCCAAGCCCACGCCCATCCAGAGCCAGGTATTGGCTTGGGTGGTACTGTAGTGATATGTTGGATAAGCGTCGTGGTCGTCGTGGTCGTCGTGGTCGCCATCGTTGTTGTTGGTGTCTGATGTTTTGTCAATTGAAGCTACTACTACTTTACTGCTGTCATCCGTAGGCAAGGTGCTTTGACAACAGTCGAGTCTGCGCCTTGCGTCCACGTGAGGGCTCGTGCCGCAGAAACACGCGTGTTTTGAGCGGCCGGCTCGCATTCCCGGCCAGCAGCCGGTGCTAGTCTTGAACGCTTGCCGGCACTACTCCGAGCACTACCATACAGCGACGGGCCGCAAGCTCTCACGTCCGTATTTACACGCAAATTGTTCCGCAGGGCTGGCCCATGGCGCTTCTGGGGAGGGACATGGTGGGAATTTCCGCCACTGGTTCGGGAAAAACGCTGGCATTCTTGCTGCCCGCCATGATCCACATCAACGCGCAGGTGTGGCAGGGGCGACACAGACACATACAAAGGGACCTCCCTTGGTGTTTTTTATGTCCAGATATCGATCCCCATGAAATCGGGCGACTGGTTCGTGTGAACCGCGCCCTGGTGTCTTGCCGGCGCACACGGTTCGATGTTGTTAGACCAATGTGCCGGGGAGATTCCAAGAATCGCGCGAAGATCGAGATCGTTTTGCACTCCACAAGACCGAACAGTTTCTATAGCGTGTTTAGCCGTTGGTCCAAACATCAACGAGCCGGAAGCGACTGCCGTATTCTGTCTGTCCGTCATCAGTACCGTCCTGAACGGGAAGAGACGAACGCCACAGCTAGCTAGGATAGGCCCATAACCCACAAAATAAATGTTTCTTTGACACCGCCCCCCCAATCAGCAATGCCCATGGTACCACGGTGTGGGTAGGGAGACTGATCGGGGGGGGGGGGGGGGGGCCGGGTCCAAAATGTTTTCCCCCATTTGGGGAGGGGGGTGTAAAATCCGGGAAAAACCTGACATGGGGAAAAAAGGGGGGGCATTCCCCTCTATGAAATTGGGAAAAACTTTTTTCCCCCGGAAAATAACACATGGGAGGGGCCCCTGGGAAAATACTTTTTTCCCCCTTACCCCAAGCTAAAATATTTTCCTTGGTGCTCCGTCTCCTGGGGCCTTTCCCCCGGTTGAAGCCTGGAAATTTCCCGGGAAGGGGCAAAAGAACGGATATTAAAAAGGTCCCTGGTTCTTCAAAACAAAATGTTCTTCCAAACCGTTCTTAAAAAAAATCCCTGGGATCGTGGCCTTCTGATCCCTGTTGAAACGGAGCAACAAATTACAAAAGGGTAAAAAAAAAAAAAAAAAAAAAAAAAAGGGAAAAAAGTGGCCCCCTGTCCACCACAATAACCCGGAAAAAAAAATGGTGCCACCATTGCCCGCGGGGTGGAATCCTTGGGAAAAACCCCCAAACGGGAAAAAAAAAAAAGGTTTTCT